ACACACACACACACACACACACACACACACACACACACACACACACAGTTAGAGCCCTCTAATTATGAAAAAACAAATTCAAAAAGATTTTGGTAGCTGCTCTCTTGATACCCAGATATGGAAGAAATTCCACACACACACAGAGTATGAATAATTAAGAACAACCATAAAAATAACTAGCATTTCTGTAATTCCTCAATTATCATTTCATTTGATCCTTGCCACAAGTCTGGGAAGTGGAGGCCATTGTGACCTCCATTTCACAGTTGACGAAACTGAGGCAAACAGGTGAAGCAACTTACCCTGCGTCACACAGTTAATAAGTGCCTGAGACTGGATTTGAACTCAGACCCAGAGCTCTGGGCACTGGGCACCCCCTTGCCGCCTCACCTGTATGTGTCTCTGTGTCTGGTCTTCTCTGAAGGCCAAAGTTCTGTCAGACCACACTACCAGACTTTCCCTTTTTTCAAAAAAGCAATGTGGGGATTAAAAACATTTTGATCCCTCGCTCATGTTTTTTTGACTAAATGCCATAAGGACTTTAACAGGGCTGCTGTTTTTATTAATAGGAAATTCCTTCTCTAGGCAATGATTTGTAAAAATAATCAGATCCCAAAGTCTAAACCCTCAAAATACTTTCCCAGCAACCTTATTAATTCTGTATTGATCTTGTCTTAGAAAAGTCCCCTCCTGTCCAAGTGACTCCACCCCAGCCAGTCATCTTCTTTCCTAGACAGGACACATACAAAAGCATGGCATCAGCAGAGGGGAAACCAGATGGAAAAGGGCCTAGGGGCTGGCGCGCCTGGGGCAGGGAGAGAAGGAGGAGGACAGAAAGCTTTTCACAGTGCACATGACCCACACCAAATAACAGATCCCAATAAAGCTTTAAAAACACCCACTCGGTACCTTCTTCTGGAGTTTTTCCACAAATCCAATGGGATTTTTCAGCGCTTCTCTCTGGTGTCTGCCTAAACTTTCGAGGTCTTGGACTGCTTGAGTGCGCTGAGCCTCGAGTACGGCAATCGTCTGTAACAGTCTCTGATAACTACAGAGACAAAGGGAGACATCTCACCAAGATGCACTAGCAACAACAAAGAAAAACTGAGTGCAAACCAAGAGCGACTATTACATCACAGTCTTTTAAAAGTTACTGCAAACAGGTTAGCAAAACATTTTACTTGGAACGGAGGAGGTCTTCCTGAGCGAACTGGCCCCTATTCAGAAAACACCCATCAGACAAAGCGGAGCCTTCCCGCCCCTGCTAGTGCAGACAGTCTGAAGTCATGTTACAAAGAGGTACAGAAATGGGGACAAGGAAGGGACTGGAGGTCAGAGCTGTCTTCACTTAAGTCCACGTCCTTCACTTTAGGGAAAGAAAGAGAAGGCCGAAGAGGGCAGGGTGGGCCTGGAGTTGGCCTAGGCCATGGGCTCCTCTTGGCGAGGAGCCTTCAGGCCAATGCCTCTGTACTCAGCGTTAGCACTTCCCCTGGGGCAGGGCAGGGTCTATCTCTACCTTTCCACCCAAAGCTCAGGCATGGGGATGATGAGGATGCAAAGTCTTGAACTGAGTCCTCAAGCTACATATCCCCAAATCTGAAGATATGAGGCTCTTTCTTTTAAGAACATTAAGTGGGCAGGAATGCTTTCTTCCACTTGCTATCCAGATGGGCGTTTCTGTGAGTGCTCCTCAAGCAACGGGGTTTTCTTGGTATCCCTAGAAACTAGCAAATGGCCCAGTACCTCGTTGGGGCTGAACAAAAGGGAACTGAATTCACTCTAAATGCAAGAAGCAGCAATGAGAACAGGAGACAAAGTGGCAGAGGGTTCCAATAACAAAACTGAAACAGGTGGGGTCAGACACGGACTGAGGGAAGGTACACGTAAGGGTTGGCTTGAATTTGGGTACAGAGAGCTTGAAGGTGAGGTAGGAAAGCCTGCCTGCCTGCACCACCCTCCCCTCTACACACACACACACACACACACACACACACACACACACACACACACCCCCACCCACCCCTCTCTACTCCCCACCCACCGCCCCCAAGTCACTAGCTTCCTGTGGTAGAAAGCTTTGGAACTTGGGAGTCAGAGGACCCGAGTCCTGACCCTGCTCCTTCCTGGCTCTGTGATCTCAGGTCTGTCTGTTTCCAAGGTCCCCTATGGTTCTAACCAGGTGATCGATGGCTTTCAGGGGACACGTGGGGTTATTATCCTCAAAGAGGAAATAAATCCAGCCTTGCCACCTCTCAAAGGCTCAACTCCAATGCTCACTGAGCTTCTGTTTTGTGAAAATCTTTGTGCAAAGCAGCGCAATGTCAGCTCAAAGGAGGCAGGTAAAGTGAGATTCGGCTCTGGGGTTGTGAAGGAGCACATGACTAGTATGGGGAGCTGAGGAAAGCGAGAGGTGGAAAGCGAAGCCTGGTCAGACGGCAGAGAGGACAGAGGGCGTGGCACAATCAGCAATGGAGAAGATCAGCTACGAAACAATTAAGATTCTTTACGTTGTGCCAGGAAGTCACCAAGTCTGGGGCTCCAGGGCAATCTCCCGGGATGTCACAGATGTTCGCTGGTGAGCAAGTTCCCTCACCAGGAACTGCTTACACCCAAGGAAACTTGGGTCTAACACCACTAACGCCAGCAGCTCAGGATGCTCTGAGTGACGGAGAAGAGTGTGGAGGGACCCAGCCCAGCGGCCCTCATTCTCAAATGCCACACAGCTCCCAAGCCCAGTCTCACTTCTAGCACTAGGATGCCCTTGTTTTCGGAAGGCTGTGCTTCAGCCCGCTCTCAGGGCTGGGCCCAATTTGGCAGAAGATAAGCTCTCCCATTCACATCTTCCATTCCTCCACAAAAGGGCCAAGGAGTCAGGCATTGCAGAGAAGCCTTCCTAGGCTTAGGGGACCCAATGAGGATGAGGGACTTGCCAGGGTCACACCAGGGGGCACATCAGAAGCAGGGCCTCGGCTTTCAGAGTCAGAGCTAAGAAAGAAAACCTAGAGGATGGGGAAATGAGAAGTGGGAAACCAGCTGGGAAGCTGTTACTGCAGGCATCAGAGGGAGAAATGGAAAATGAGATGTGTGAAAGACACCACCAGGGCAGGGGATGTGGTCATCCCAAAACAGGACCTGGCTACTGATGGGCATGCAGGAGGGAAGGGATGACAGGGACTCTGAGACCATCACACCTCATCCCTCCCAAACCATTCAGTAAATACTCCCTAAAACTTTAGAAAAATGCCATGAAGTTTTGTTTTTTTTTTTTTTGGTCATTGCTTTTAAAATTGATGACTTTCCTTCGACAGCCTTGCAAAATCACCAGCTGTAAGTAGCCGTTTATAAAGCTGTAGTGTGTTAGTTTAACTTGTAGGATATCTGACAAATATTTAATACATGTCTACTGCAGCCAATGCACTTCCTAAGATCCCAGGGGAAACAGAAAGCCCAGATAAGCTGCCCCCTCCTCCCAAAGCTTAGGGGCTCACCACACGGTACATGTGTGTCCACTCAGAAGAGCATGTTAATTAGCTCAAAATGGTTCCTCACTGGTGACAGTAACTTTTCAACAGAAAGTTGTTCAGTGTCTAATTTAAAAGCTGAGTGCAAAAAAGTGGAAAAAAGGGAAACAAATTTTTGACAAAGAAATCTCAATTTTTCTTTTAAGAAGTGAAATAAAAGTCAGTGACTTTTACATGCAGAAATTATAAAATCTTCAAAATGCTCCAAACTGAACACTTAGAGTTTTTGTAGACACTTTGTGTTCTTAAACTGGGGTCTAGAGACTGATATTTGCACATGGACTTTAGAGGATCTGTAATTTGGGTGAAAAAAGACTTTATTTTTACTAGGCTCTAACTAAAATTTAGCATACCCTTCAATTATTAAAAAAATGTTACTCAAAATATTATTCTGAGAAGAGGCCTAGAGGTTTCAAACTACCAAAGAAGTCCATGACACAAAAAAGGTTCAGAACCCCTAATCTAAACTATTTTCACAGCTTTCAGCAAAGCTGGGTCACCTCGTGAATTATTCATTTTGTGAACAACCTTTTTCTAAATCCATATTCCAAAATGCCCAATGCCAGAAATTATGAAAAATCAACATCAATAAGCAAGTAAAGTCCTGAGCACTTAAGGCTGCATTAATGCAGCTCCTATTACAGATAATCAAAAAGATGAGACGTGAAGGATTCTTGAAAACGCTGCCACAGCCTCCCCAAAGCCTCACGCACTGTGGAACTGACCGGAAATTATTCACGTCAATGCCAAGGAAGCACCAAATGCGGGCTGGTTCTCGGATGTCTCGGGGCACATGAGTGTTCAGGAGGACTAGCACCTCTGGTGTGCGGGCGCCTCTTCCCCCTGGGGCTCCAGGAAGCTGTAGCATGAGCAGTGGCCGGACCCTGGTAAAACTGTCTGTGCAGACAGACTAAACCAGGCTGAGGGTAATGACGAGTCTCAAACCCGCTGGCAAATTAGGGGGTGTCTACCCCAACCACGTGAAGACTTTCCCTAGCAGAACGGGCGGATGAGGACAATTTGTTCTGACAGCCATGAAGACGGCGGAACTAGGCACCATGGAGCACTTGGAGCCTGGTCAGCCATTGAAGATGACAAGGTCGTCCTCTGCATCCCAGGCCACTGCCAATGGTCGTGACTTTGTGCAACTCTGCCTCACTTAAATCCAATTCACCCACGAAAGCTACCACCCCATGGTGTCACTGGTCCTCTTTGAAAACAAAGGGCAAACAACAACTATCCCAGTTTCTGCTTCCCAAAAACCCTGCCCGACTCAGTCTAAAGAAAAGCTCATCAAGACAGACCAGTAGGCTGGCCACAAAACCTATGAAACAAAGGAAAATGGGAGTGCAGTCTTGAGCATCAGCAGTGATGGTATCAGGAGAGAAAAGGGGGCAGAAGAGAGAAAGAAACTGTAGTTTTCAGACAACTTATAAATATCAACTTGACTTAAAATACCCTGATCATGAGATTCTTGTCTCACATGCTTACTACTGAAGGAACTGAGCTTGTCAATTTTGATGTTGTCATTAGAGGGTAGGCCAGAAGTCCGAATAAAGTTGTAGTACATGAAAGCACGGCTCACAGGTTCTCCTTGACTAGGCAAAAAGAGGGGGTGTTTCTATCTTAGCTCTAAAGGCAGCAAGAATCCTAATTTCATGAGATGTTTGGTCAGCTGGTCTCGTCATCCATCTTTCTGGTGAAGACTTGCAAACAGACCACAATGAAAATAACTGCAACAGATAGACCAGCATCTGTTGCAGACAAAGAGGTAAAAGCTATAAAGACTCTCCCAAATGAATCACTGTGTACTCTGATACCTGGTGACTCTAATGCAGAAGCAGGTTATAGGTGAAAATGGTGAAAAATATGATTGAGGAATAAGGAACATGGGAGGCCAAAAACTGTAAGCACCAAATAATTGTATAACAGATGATTGTGTAATCTCATACCTCTATAGCCTGAATACTTTTTCTTCAGGAAGAGAATCAGGAGGTACTAGACCTGGGGAGCACCAAATAACATGACCACAAAAATGAATTATATTTTACAGGAAACAACTTCTTACTGATGTGGGAGTCATTGCTGAACCAGATGTGAAGGCAAAAATACAACTTCTTAGCACAAAGAGTAAAATAAATACAAATCTAGAAAAATAAAAATGGGGAAGATGCTTTAAAAACAAGTCTGACTTATTTAAAGAAATTATAACAATGAAAAAAGATAAATGGATGGAGGAAAAATGTCCACATAACTAATAATGTCATTCAGATGACAAACACAAATCAATCATCATGACACAAAGAGAAGAAAAAAATTCTATAAAGATTTTTATAATTCTCACACAGAGAAGAAAAAAAAGAAAATCCATAAAGATTTTTATAGCTCTCACATAGGTTTGCACATCCTTCTTGGGAAAAGAGAAACAATACTATGGACTAGACAAAACATAAACAGAAGGTCTGTGATGGAAGAAATAATTTTTGAGGGCACGGAAGGGTCAGGTTTCAAGGTATCTGAAAGAAGG